AGGCACCGAATAGACAGACAAAGCTCTCAGTCAGACATGTTCTCAAGCTATCTCTTATTGTAGGGTCTGTACACAGATTGCATGTCACATATCCATTAGTGCACATTGAAGAGACCATGAGTGGAGTGAATAAGTGCTGTCACTGCCTGTCAGAGTTGGCAGCGAAAGTTGGCTTACTCGTAGTACATATCTGGACCATGGCTTTCAGTTGGCATTGTTGTCCAGCTGCCAGAAAAATTGTACTACCAGACATGTTGCCAAAATAATGCAGCCACCTTTTTTTACTTAATAAAGTTCAGTTCATGACTACCTACAGCTTCTAAAAAATACTTAGACCTGCCCTACAATGGTAGCCCAATCCTCTAGGAAACAGGTGTAGCTGACAGTTTTCTACCTAACAGCACCAAGTTTTTTGCTCTAACCACTTACCCAACCCAGCCATTGCAGTGATTGATGGACTACTGTAAAATAGCTTTGTCCTGAAAGATACACTTGGCAGTCAGCATCCAGCATTTAAAAAGCTGCAAGGGATGAAAGGCAAACTGTGTGAAAGTGCTGAGTACCTGTATGCCAAGAGCTTTCAGAGCAGTTCTATGGTCTCAAAAATCACAATTTTTGTTTTCTAAAAACATAACGACTTTCTCTGCGACAACTGCAAACAGTGTTTATAACCTCGTTGAGCTATGCAACCCACTGTGCTATTACTTTAGGACCTCAGACTGCTTTGTGGGGGAAAGAGAGCGAGCAAGAGCAGGAACTATACATTTTGGTAGTGGTGTTGGTGATAAAATATTCCATGTTAAGATGATTTCATGATGTGATCTTCTATCTCTCATCTTTCTCCCCAATCCTATTCTCATGTCACAGATACAAAACAGTATCCGGTGTTTGTGGGTCACAAGCCGGGACGGAACGCCACACAGAGGCACAGGCTGGACATCCAGCTGATCTTAATAATGAACAGAACTCTCTACATTGCTGCTAGGTCAGTACTGCTTTGCTGACTCCCTTCTTGCTGCTCTGAGCAAAAGTGGATATTCTGGATTCATTTCTGCCAGACATTTATTTTAGATGTTATCACATTTGAAGGACATCACACTGTCTATAATACATATGAAAAGCCATGTTAGTTAGTCATCTAACACAGTTCAATCCTGAAAGGTACTGAGCATGTGCAGTGCTCACTTTAACCCATCAGTGTGAAAGGCACTGAACACCCCAATGAACTGTTTAGCACCTGGGAGAATAGAGTCCATAGTTTATTTCCTTAAAGAATTTCTGATTTTGTTTGAGTGTACAATTAATTACATATTTCGGAAAACAAACACAAGTGATCCATTGTGTACATGAATACATATTTGAATAAGAGTAATTAAAATTTAATGTTGCTTTCCAGGCATATTTTGTTGTAAAACAAAACAAAAAGGAGGAGAGATATATTTACTGCTATTCTGTTGAACAGCCAACAAAGTTAACTGAATTTATTTTCTGGATTTCTTTTTTAGCTAAAGAGGTATATAGGCACAGTACATGCATTATTTTGTGTAAATTGGCATAGCACTATCAGATTCCCTGGGAGCTACACATAGATATCAGTTGCGGACCTCACACAACTGTATATAAACACTTTTTTCCCCCCCCAAACATGTAAACAGCTAAAAGCTAACAGAGGTCTTGACTTACTGTTATTACTACACTACACATAAATGTCTCAGAGTGGTGCCTTGCCAGCGGGTTCATAAGGAATACAGGTAAGAGCAGATAAGTCGGAGTCATTAGGGGTGCATCTACACAAAAAGTTTACTGCGCCATAGACTAATTAGCTGCTTAGTAAACATTGTTCGTCTACACATGTGCCCCTATTCGGCTGGAGTAAACTAATTAACTTCACAGCACAGGAAATACAAGTACTATCCTGCTGCTGGATTTTTTACTCTGCAGAAATGCACGTGTAAACACTGCTCCAGCTGGCTGGGGCACAAGGACTCTTCAGTGCTGGGGCTGTCTGCTGGCTAGTCGTGCTCTGGAGCCCCCTCATGCCCCAGCAAGCCCCTCCACAGCACATTGAATGAAGGGGAGCAGCCCCAGGCTGGCAAGAACCCCTTGCTAACTGGAGCTGTTCCAACCAGGCTTAATATGCTGCAATCCTGGGCTCATGTTAAAACAGTGCACCTGGGAGCAATAAACTCCAGAGAAATAAGCACCAGAGTCAGCCTTAGTTGACTGATTGCTTACATTGATGAGTAGAATTGTTGAATAAGGAAGCGACATTTTTAAATAGCCATTTTTTCTGACCATATCTGCATTTTTAAGGTGCCTCATCAGTGGAGAAAGCTTTGGATTTAACTGCTAAGCTTATTTCTCTCTAACTGGTTTTTGTGATTGGTTTGCCCTTCCACAGTATCTTGTAGTTTCTTTATGGTATTCCTTTTCTTCAGCAAGTTCTTCCCGAAGTCACCATCCATTAAAAAAATGTATGCAGTCTTGGAGCTATGACAGGTTAGGGTGTAGGAGTTTTTAATTAAGAATATAATTTGCTAAACAGGGCCAGTTTATCTTTTATTTTTTAATATAACCTTTCTTGACAGTTCCTATATTCTGTTGACCTGAGCCTTCCATTTGCTTTAACCGTCTCCTAAATACTACAAACTGTGCTTTGGACATTTGCAACTCCAGCCCCACAAAGCACCAGGTCTCAAACTCTGATGCTCAGCAGGGCAACATGTTGCATTCTTGTAAGCTTCATATCTTAGGGAAGAGTGCACAGCCCCAATAAACACCTGGCCATGCAGCAGTGGGATAGGGAATGGAACTGGCAGCTTCAATATATAGTAAACCCAAATCTTTTATCTCTAACAGGCTGTAGCTGCTGAGATAGCTCTTGAGGTGTGAACACCCAGTATGGTTTGTTTCTCCCCATGGAGTGTTTTGGGCTGGAGGACTCATGCACTCACTGGTCATACCTCTTCCAGTTGTCCAGTCCTAAACTTTCCTTTCACAGTCTTTTGCCAAGAAGAAACATGGAATTTGGCTTTCTGGCACAGAAAGTATTCAGAGAGCCCTAATAAGGGCTTTCCACTCTGTGCCTCCCTGTAAAAACACAGCATTTATGTGTTTTGGCCCTTGTGTGGTTATGTTTATGTAAGAAAGAAAGGGTGGGGGTAGAAGATGGCAGTAGGGTTTTCTTCTGTTTTGTGACTGAGTTTCTTTCTTTCTCTCTCCCTTTCTCAATTGTCAAATTATTTGCTGTGAACATGAAGGAAAATCTGCTTTGTTCACTTTACTCTTTTGTACCCAAAGTTTATTCCCAGGATAACTTGTAGGTGCACAAGTTATTTAAAAAAAATCTGTGTGTATATGTGCATGTGCACATATGCATGGAACATATAATAACATGTAAATGTACACACATGCATGTATAAAATGTGATATTCAGATAGAAAAGTGCTCAGTTATTACCAAGAACTAACAACCTGCAAAAAAAGAGCTAATCCATTTTAATTTCTACAAACACAGGAAATCTTCTTATAACTTTTTTTGTTTCATAACTTTAAAATTCTTAAGTGGATACTTTTCCT